CAACCTTTTGTTTAGGAGCCAAACGATTAACCGTTTGCACCAGTCAAGGACTCCTATAAGAAAAACCAGTTGCCATCACGTCAATTCCTACTCATAGTGACCCCATAGGACAGAGCAGAGCTGCTCCACAGGGTTTCTAAGGAGTGCTAGTGGAGTCGAAATGCCCATCTTTTGGTTAGCAGCCGAACACTTCACCACTGAGTCACCAGGGCTCCAGGGACTCCTATAGGACCTGGTAAAGATCTCAATTCTATTTTAAGGCACCCTTCTGTCATGTTTACTGACTTATATTTTTACCTTACAAGGAACTCAATATAAAAAAGCAAAAATGAAAACAAATCCTTGTACGGAATAAATATATGAATTTGCTTTTTGAACTACACAAAGGAACACTTTTACAATTTAACTTAACAAATGCCTCGACTCTCTAAAGCCCAATGGTTTTCTTCAAATTACCAAGCTCCTAGGGATAGAAGGCAGTCTAGAGTTGGGTCCTCAATCACCATCTCCTCTACATTCATTATTTTGATTATGCAAAACCATTTGCACAAAAACTAAGCATTATAACTGCATTATTAATTTCCCATTTCATCACATAAGAAACACCAGAACCAGAATGCTACAATAATACATACATTTTCCAGACTTGGAAGAAGATCCCCGCTGTCCACTCTTGGAATTGAAGCCACTTTTGCCCCTTCGGGAAGTGTTTCCTGACACACGCTGGCGTTTTGAGGGCACTACAGCCCGAGCAATAGGAGGAGGAGGAGGAACACGTGCAGGGTAGCTGTACATCCTATTGGAGAAAAGGAAAACAGAACTCCTTCACACCAACATTTAAGTCAGCAAGATCTAACAAAAATGGTGACCTTATAAAACAATAAATATCCATTGTCTCTCAATCATTTCTATTTTTGCTAAGTTAACTTCACTCAAAAAGCCAGCAAAACTATCCATTGTTTAATGATACATTTTCAATACTGCAGTACCTTTTCTTCAATAAAATATTACATATACATACATATATCCAATGATATGGCTGGCCTTAAAACAGTGGACATAAAAGGTCCCTCTGTACTAAGGCACAATTAGCAGAGCCGTTACTTTTATTTTTTAAAACAATGAATGACTTTCTCTTTATCTTGTTCATATATATATAATACTACAATAAACAATTCACATGGAGTGAAATACTTCTAAGTTGTAATTAACTAGGTCTGAAAAGAGGTATTCAGTTTTAATCAAATCCCTAATCTTTTCACTCACAGAAGCATACAAAATCATTACTAAGTAATATTAGGTTGAACCATATAAAATAAACAATACTGATCATTATTTACCTATAAAAACATTTCATACAGTTGAAGGAATCATAGCAAAACAGGTTAACTGGGGTTCTAATATAAAATACTATCACTCCTTTTAAAATAAACTCATTGCCCAGCACATATTTAGCAAACAATGATATTTGTTGTTCAACTAACTACTGTTTCTATTAGAAGTCTAAATTCCGAATGTCTTACATTAATACTTAGTATCCTCGTGATAAGGATACAAAGTGATGACCTGGATTTGCCTCTTTTACATTTGTAAACACAAATTCAAAACACAACAAAAAAACACTTCTTATGCTTATGTGGACATCAGTTCTACATTAAGTTTCTGGGTTTTTCATGCTATCATTTTTATATAAGAGCTCATACAATGTAAGAAGAGAAGCAGTGGGAAAAAAAATCCAATCCTAGTTGTGTAGCTTTTTACCAACTCAACCCCAATAGGCTCAGGTATTCTTTTAAAAGTCTATAAAAAAAGATTAGGACAAATACTGTATGATCTCACTTATATAAAAAGACAAGAACAGGCAAATATATACAGACCAAGTTTATCAGTGGTGACCAGGGGCAGGAGGGAGGGGAAAGGGAAGGGTTATCAGTTATCAAATACTGAGTTACAGGGACGGAAAAAATCGCACTGGTGAAGGGTAGGGTTGCACAGCTAATTGCTGTCAATAAGCTGTACACCTGTGAAAAATTGTACTGGCAAAAGCTGTGTGACAGATATATGTACTACAATGACCAAAACAACAACAACAAAAAAGTAGCTGCTGAGGCTGCTTATGCACAACCAAACACCTTACGGGATTTGGTTCCTTGGTTTGCAGGTTTAGGGTCATGGTTTCATGGGTCATCTCTGTTAATTAGTCTAATAATATGTTCAATGCTTCTGTTCTACCTCCTGGTTAGTTGTGCGCCTGGGATCTTAAAAGCTTCCAAGTGACCATTCAAGGCACAACAATTGGTCTCTATTCACCTGGACCAACGAAGAAGGAGAGTCCAGAATAGGAGGAGAAAATAGAATGTGTAGCTAAATTGCCTCCACAAACAACTGCCTCCTTTGCCATGAAACCAGAAGAACTGGATGGTGCTCAGCTACCATCACTGAACGTTTTGATCAAAGATTCTACAGAAGAATCTTGATTGGGGGGCGGGGGGACCGCAGGAATGAGGGGAAGGAAAATGTAGAACAGAATTTCAAATTCTCATGGAATTCAGTCTTTCTGGAGCCATGAAGGCTGGATAAACCTATGAAACTACTGACCCATCCTTTGAAGTCTTCTTAAAACCACACAATATTTTAGCTTAACTAGTAAAGAATGTCTGCCTTGGGCATTATGCTCTTTATTCACAACGGCAACTCGAAAGGATAGGAACCTTAAGGTTTATGTTAATGCGGAAGGAACAACCAGTGAAGGAGGGTAAGAATGGTCGCACAACTCAAAGAATGTAACCAATGTCACTGAACTGTACATGTAGAAATTTGAATTGTTATGTTTTTGCCGTGTATATTCAACAACAGAAAGTAAAATAAATTATTTTTAAAAAAAAAGATTATCACTGCTCTGCCTAAATTCAAAGGTTTTAAGGAACAAATGTGACACATTAACAGCTTTTCAATTTTATAAATCATCGATAACGTGACCAGCCTCTCTTCTATATGTCTAGAAGTGTATAATATAGTCTTGAATTTCTTGGTACTGTAAACACTGACTTTAATAGGTCCTCACATATAATTCTCTCTTAATCTAAAATGTTCCTATCCTATTTTAAGAAATTGATATTTTATCTCTTCATAAGAGTGACTGTAAGAACACTTTCCTAAAAGCTTATAAAAACTGACAAGTTAGGGTACTGACTTACTGAGCTTCATTTTAAGCAATTTTATAAGTGTTAGACCACCTCAGCACATTTCCTCCTTGAAGCACAGTAGTTATTCATTTGCCATTGCCAAAGAGTCAATCGTGGGTAGAAGTTACCAGAGCACTCATACTATGCGGCTTATTTTAAGCTTCAACTAAGAACTTTCAACTTTGAGTTCCAATAAATAAGGAAATGAAAATTTATGATTCAGAAAGCTCTTAGTCCTTCTACAGAAATTTCTTCACAGTTGACATGTATGACTTAGTTAACATATTTGTCAGTTTTAATCTCCTCATGGGAATTAAGACAAAAAACTACTCTAACTTTCTAATTATCACTATCTTTCCATCTACATAAAGCCTTTTGTCTTTGGGCCCCAAATTCTGCAAAGTATGATTCAGAAACTATAAAATATCAGTGTTGAGAAACTAAAATTCTGACAATTTTTGGAGGCAAGTCAGAGTTATTGATACCTTTGGGGCATGAAACAGAGCTCATGTTCCAGTCCAGTTGGTTTTAGAGATCCAACCTTCCTCCCAACCCACTCACTCACTTTCACTGGTACCGATCTCCAACCAAATGAGTTACCATTCCAGATTCCCTACAGTTCACAGCAAAGGAATTTTCTTTTAAGTCACATTACTTCATCTGATCCAGGCAAACAGCCATAAGAAAAATGAAGCAAAAAACAGTTTGCTTTGAATCTGTGGAATGGCCCCATAAATACCTGGGAGTTGAATGTTCCAGTTCTCTGAAGAAAAATGTACTTAAAAAGATCACTTGGTAGTGCTAAAGGGCTCTAAGTTCCACAGAAGTTAACTGCTGCTTAAGCAAAAATGGACCCTCAGATACAAAAAATCCCCCAAGGAAGCTTAAGTGGACCATGCCTTATAAAATTAGTTAAAGTATATGATTGTGAAGACATAAGGAGAGAAGGCAGAAGAGGAGAAAAACCTTACCTACTGTGGTAACCCTCAAGGTCAAAGGAATAGGTAATAGGAAGCTAAGTATGACAGCTTCAAGTACCACCTACAAATTAAATTAACCATTTTACCCATGGGAAAGGTATACAATTAATCACATAAGGCAACAAGAGCTGTTACTGCCCTACTGATCAAGGGTAGGTTTTTTAAGTCTTGATAAAAATCTCATTATTATCTGAGGAACTAACATTAAAACCCCAAGAATATGACTGCACCCTACACCAGAAATTTGGACACTAGGTGTTAGTATAAAATCTAGTCAGAATACTTAGCTGAGAAGACAATGAGTTTCTGTTAATGGTAGTGAAATATAACCAATGTCAATGAACTGTACATACAAAAAACATGGCATTGGCAAACGTTTTATTATATATATTTTTACCACAACAATTTAAAACAAAAATAAGTCTGATCTGTATTAAAGGTAAAGAAAACATCACTTGAAAAAAAATTAAAACTTTCCTACAGACACATTAACTTGCCAATTACTTGAACAGACAGATGAAACAAAGAACTCTATCCCAACCTCCAAGCTAAATAAAACATAGGCATTATAAGGCATTTAATAAAAACACAAGTTTTCAAAAGCAAGCTTCTTAAATTGAAATTCTCTGTCCAAAAGACGTCAGAATTAAAACATGGTGATCTTCCACAATAAATAGTAATATAATTACTACCAGAAAGGAAACTAGAGTTAATCTATTAGTAAATTCTATACTTTCCTGAACACACTTATTTAATATACTATAGCTGGTCTCTAAAAAAATTCGGATAGATTAAAATAATTTGTTTAGGCATATTGTCAAATAGCAAGTAATTCTGGAAACCAACTAATTTTCAAATCTTGCTGCCCGCAACAGTACCATAAATTAAAAAAAAAATAATAGCTACAACATGAAATTTTCCAGGTGACAACAATCTTGTAAAATTAAGGAGTTTTAAGAATAGCTCCCTTCTGCACTGACAAACTATTTTTGAAACACTGAAAGAGTATTATTAATTTTAAAATTACTTTTCGGTACAACATTGTCTTTATCAAAATCTATTTAAATACGCTACTATATAACTTCACTGGTGTTCAGGAGTACTGTTCTGAGCTAATCACGACCAAATCTAGAATACTATGGGCTCATTTCTTACAAACATGCTTTATATTTAGAGAGGAACAAAGAAAAATAGGTACATATCCAAGAATGATGCAAATCAAAAAGAAATGATTTTAAGAATGTGAAGATGAACAAGACCCCAGTGCATAAATAACGGTAAAATGTAGTCTTTGGTATGTATCTAGAGGAAACCATGGATCATGGGAACAATGTGAAACAGCTGCAAAGACTATGCATTCAACTGAAAAGCCCAAAGAGCGGGTTTTTCCATCACAGCTCTAGTAACTACTAAATTTGGCCCTGAAATCCCAAATTGATGACAAATAGATACTTGCCTCAAGCTCTGTAGTCAATGAACTCTACAGATAGAAGCCAGCACAGTAACTCATAACCATGAAAGCTCTGAGTGAATATCTTCTGCCACTGTAATTGTTCTCTTTGGTTCCTAACAATGTGCTCCAACCTAGTCCCCCTAATTAAAATAATGCCTTGGCTATGATTCATGTCTAG